AGGACAGATGTAACGTAACAGTTCAGTATATTTTTTCTTTGTTACCAAAGCTATCCTCCTGTTTCGTATTTCTCTGGCTAGCTTTTGGAGTTTGTCCTTGGCCATCACAAAACGCTTACGGATCTCAGTGTCTCACTTACCGTCCTCTGTCAAGACGCTTCCAAGTCTGCTTGATTCTAGTGTTCCCGACCTTCAGATCGTATTTCGTGCTCATCCTCTTACTAACGACCATACACTCCGTTTTCTTGTAGTTTATGCTTAGTCCCTTCTTCTCGCTATCCTTCACTACCTTCTGTAGGGGATTTTGTAATTTTATTTCCGTGTCTGCTGCCAGTACTCTGTCATCTGCGTATCTTATGTTGTTAAAACTGTGGCCGCTAATGCTAAATCCTGGCAGGGTTTCCAGTTGTCTCAGGATTGCCTCGCTGTATAGGTTGAACAGGTCGAACGAGAAGAGGCATTTTCACTAAGACGAAAATCCTTAGAGAGTGTTTTAATCGCAAGGTCATTCTCAGTAAATTTTCGATTTGGCTCTTACAACATTTCGCGATTACTGGTAGAATTTCTATTATCAGAGTGTGGGATTGTAGCCGCCAATTCGAAATCCCGGTAGGGCTTCCAATTCTCTCAGGATTTCCTCGCTGTATAGATTGAACAGGTTTGATTAGAAGACGTATCCTTGCCTTACGCCCCTTTCTATTTTTGTCTATTCACTGAACTTGTCTCCTATGTGCACGCATGCTGTTTATCTGAAAAGCACTGGGAATTAGCGCTTCCTGTAGTGTTACTCTCCATAAGATCGTTGCTGTGTACCCCAACAAATGCCCCCCAACTCACGAAAGTTTCTTTACATTTCCACGCCGAGAGTTCACTGCCATCCTGGCTAATGTCACCAGATCCCATACTATTAAAAAAAAAGGTTTTTAAGAAACAGTAAAACTGATGTGGACCAAGTCGAACTTCTCGACAATAATCCAACATATGCCAAAATAAGATATCCAGGTGAAAGGGAATTTACTGTGACTGTTTGGAATTTGCCATTCGACCCTGGAATAGAGATAACCCCCGAGTTCCCACCGTGGAACAAGATATGGGTGCAGAGATTGTTCCCATACAGGAGGAGAGCAAAACATTTAATATAAATGTTGCTGAGGGTCTAACAGATGAGGAAATCCGGACGGATAACGAGACCCCCAGATTGTTATGGATGATGACCCCACAATTTTCCAAGGAACGAAGAATTTAGTATCCTACGCTCGAATTACACGAACAATAGACTCGACCACGCCAGCAATATAATCTGTGATTTACCTCCATTTTATTTTGTCTTGAGTTTCGTTTAGCTAAATAAAGCGTAGTAATTTTTCTTCTGTTCTGAGTTTTGTCTTACTTATCCCAATTACTGCTGCTGCTGCGTTTGAAGTCTTGCTGCCATTTTCCTTCTTCCGTATTAAAGGCTTCCATATTGTATTTATTTTCCATATTGTATTTATTTTTGTGCCAGGCCTACAATATTGAAGCGGCTAATAAAACACAAAGACAAGAGAAAATCTTCAATAAATTATTTGTTAATAGGTACACACGTTTTGTTATTGTATATCTACTGTTGCCCAAAGTTCATATTTTGCTATTTTTATTCAAGTGCAATCTTCTACATTTATGAGAACCAGATCAGTCCAAAAATAGAGTAATGTTGCCATATTTCGGCAGGAGCTGCCCTGACCTCACTTTCCAGGTTTGATAGACTTCAAAAGCGTCTCTGAGTCCTTGTTGGAGAAGAATTATTTTCAACCCTCCAGCTTCTCTCTCGCACAAGCAGGATGTGGCGAGTCTTTCACTGCCCTATCGCTACTACCATGGAAAATGTTCGAACAAACTGCATCTCTTGGTTCTATCAGGTCTGAGCTTCAAAGCTAAGATCTGTCATGCCACTTACATAGTAGCAAAATACCCTCATTCCCTCCGCATTCTAGAGTGGAGAAGTTCCGCTCAAACAAATTGTTTCCCCGCGAACCACAGACCTACATGAGGATTTTCCCCGATTAATACAATCTTAACCTGTTCAAGTCTAGAGTCAACCATTATCTTCACCTTGTGTAAAAATTGGTTGGATATACCCACAGGAAAAAAAAGGTGGAGGGAGGTAATGCGATTCCAATAGGTTCACTACGCAAAAAAAAAAAAAAAAAAATCCATATTTCTCTCCGCGTCTCCATCTCAACTAACTCAACCAAACTGGCTAAAAAAGTCACTTGACATACATATTTAACTTATGCAAGTTATTTTTTTGTGTTTATCGCTTTCATTTCTTACCTCGCCACTGTGCAACTTTGCCAACCTGATCAACTTTTTTTTAATGTGAAAATGGACAGTGTAGGGAAGCTGGACAGAAATGTGAGCGGACCTTTTTATTATTCTGATGAACTAGATTGGTGTAAGTAATAAAAATAATAAGATTATAAAGTTCAAAGTAAAAATAAAAATTACAAAACAATTCCCACAGGCGGGGTGTGGTGAGTCTTTCACTGCCCTATCGCTACTACCATGGAAAGTGCTTGGACGAAGCGCATCTCCGGTTCCACTAAGTTTGACTATCAACGC